CCCCAAAACCCCAAAACCCCAAAACCCCAAAACCCCGCAACTCTTAATTTAATTTGAATTTTATCAATTTACAAGCATGAAGATTGAAGAGGTCAAGAGCACAACTAGGACTCAAAGAGTCGCTACCCATTCCCATATCAAAGGTCTTGGGTTAAATGATGATTTCACAGCCAAAGAGATCTCTCATGGGCTCTGTGGGCAGGAAAAGGCAAGAGAAGCTGCAGGAATCGTCGTGGATTTGATAAAATCAAAGAAAATGGCTGGAAAAGCACTCCTTCTAGCTGGTGCTCCTGGAACAGGAAAAACAGCCATCGCTCTGGCAGTTGCACAAGAAATCGGGTCTCAAGTTCCCTTCTGTCCAATGGTTGGTTCCGAAGTCTACAGTACAGAAGTCAAGAAAACCGAGATATTGATGGAGAATTTTAGAAGAGCAATTGGAATTAGAATCAAAGAGACTAAGGAAGTATGGGAGGGTGAAGTCACTGAGATCACTCCTGAAGAAAAGGAAGATCCCCATGATGGATACGGCAAAGTCGTAGAAGGAGTCATCCTTAGTTTAAAAACAACTAAAGGATCAAAGCAGCTCAGATTGGATCCAAGTGTGTATGAGAATATGCAAAAGGAAAAGATCACTGTTGGTGATGTTATCTATATTGAAGCCACTTCTGGTGCCGTCAAAAGAGTAGGAAGAAGCGATGCCTACGCAGCAGAATATGATCTTGAAGCAGAAGAATATGTCCCAATCCCAAAAGGAGACGTTCATAAGAAAAAAGAAGTAGTTCAAGATGTCACCCTTCACGATTTAGATGTAGCTAATGCTAAACCACAAGGCGGACAAGACTTCTTCTCACTGATGAATCAAGTTAATAGACAGAAAAAGACTGAAATAACAGAGAAATTGAGACTTGAGATCAATAAGGTAGTCAATAAGTATATTGACCACGGAATCGCTGAGCTCGTTCCAGGAGTATTGTTCATCGATGAGGTTCATATGCTCGATATTGAATGTTTCACATATCTGAACAGGGCTTTAGAAAGTAATCTGGCACCTATTGTAATTTTTGCTACAAATAGAGGAAAATGTACTATCAGAGGAACTGAGATGAAGAGTCCTCATGGTGTTCCAGTTGATCTTCTTGACCGTCTGCTTATTATTAAGACTCTCCCATACTCGATCAACGAAATAGTACAGATTCTTTCCATCAGATGTTCCACTGAGAATATCGAAATTGACGAAGACGCTCTTGCTCATTTAGCAGCAATTGGAACTAAGACTTCTCTCAGATATGCAGTGCAGTTAATTTCTCCATCAAATATTTTAGCAGAGACAGACGGAAGGGAGAAGATTAATAAGGAAGATATTGATGAAGTCAACAGCCTCTTTTTCGATGCCAAGTCATCTGCAAAAATCCTCCAAGAACAAGCTGACAAGTTCATATCTTAAGGCAAATAGAAGGGGCTTCACTTCAATTATCGGCTAATTAAAAGGGGTTTTGGGGTTTTGGGGTTTTGGGGTTTTGGGG